GGAAGCCACTGGGCGGAAGCTTTACGTTTCGGTTTCGCTTTTCTCCGACGCCGGGTTTGCGGCTGGTAGCGACGACGCGAGGGGCCACGAAAAGACGCCGAGTTGGCCGAGTACGAGTCACGGCCCACGATACGAGCAACGGGCCGTTTGCCGCTGTCGACCGGCGATGCGGTATCCGCGGCTTGGTGTCACGATCGGTTTGTTGCCGTGCACGCTGACTCAAAGCTCGAAGTTACGCAGTTCCGTTCCGGCACCAGCCGCACCACGTTTTCCGGTGCATCGCACGTGGAGGCCTTTCGACGTATTTAGTGACCGTAAAGATAGTGCCCGCTGTCTTCGGTGCTGTAGAAGAAGTTGCGAGACGGAAGAAGCATCGAAACCAAGGCGTTTAGGACTCCAGGCCGGGCCGCCGGTTCACTCTGAACGAGAGGCGACATCTGTGCGCACGCTTTGAGGAAGCCTCCGCGTTTCGCCGCGCCAGAACTCGCCGATCGCGACCGTACCCCGAGTCCGAGAGGCTCTTGCGCAGCCGGGAACGGCACCGAGGTAGGAGCTGCTCGTTCTGCGCTACCATGCAGTGCTCAACAGTGCTCGGGGCTCTCGGTGTCGTTCGTGCTTGCACCGATATCTTTGTGACCCCTTCGGACACGCAAGTCGTACTTCGCAAAGGTTTGGACGGGGCCGCCCACACCGAGCAGCTCCGCTATATTCCGCTTAGTTATGATCACAATAAAAGCTTGCGTTTGTTCTCGGGAAAAAAATTGCGGGACCGCTCTCCGCGCCGCCGACGAGATTGGCCGCCTCCATGTTCTCAGCTGTTCACTCGCTCCCGCAGCGAGCGCCTTCCGATAATCCTCCCTGTTCCAAAATGCGATGCGATCTCCGTTTACATGGGCTGAATGAATGCGCACTCGATATCTCGATCCACCTCTGTCTAGCGACTTTAATGCGATGCGCTTTGCGCATTATGCCGTTTACATGACCGCATATGGAATGCGGCAACTGGATTCAATACGACTAAGTCGCATTCATGTAAACGCGGCTTATGTTCTTTTTCGACATGTATGGTGTATGTAACGATACCGGTGGTAAACGATGGACGTTTTGTTGGAAGATGGCGGTCGTCTCTCTGCATGTATGATTTGGATATAACGGTGGTGGTGTGGTATAAGCGTTTTTTGTTGGAAAGATGGCGGTCGCCTACGTCATCGGCCGCAAAATCATACCAGCACACCGAATCATATCGGCAAGCAAACTGGCTGCCAGTATAGACAGACCCGGAGCCATAGCGGTGCCGGTATCTCCAGTTATGCAGAAAGCCGAACCAAACTAGCTGCATACATAATAATAAGAAATTATACTAGTGTCATACCAGAACTGTACAAGCAGCAGGTTTGTTTCTTGTACGTTTTTCCAATAGGGCTCCCTCTAATTGATCCCCCCCCCCCCCCCCCCCCCCCCCGAAGAAAGGTTGGCGCCATCCATGAGCGACGGTGGGAACCAATTGTCTGGATGCCGCCGTTGCTCCTAGATGGCGGCAACTGTCCAGAGCTTGGTGGCATCATTTTCTCCTTTTTTCTTTTTTTTTGCTGGTGGACACGATTCTGGGGAACCTAGCCCTTAACATCTCCGTAGTAAAAATAAACTCTGACATTTGCTGATAAAAAGAAAACAACATTCGGATCGAGTATAATAAATCCTCCATCCTAAGGTCGTTTTAACCTTCTACTGTGCGCTCAAATATGCTGTAAAATGATGTAGCTCTATTGCCGAGAAAATTGAAGTATAGAGGTGGTCTGTCCAACTTGTTTTCCCCAGATCTTAGGGTTTATCAAAAAGAAGGTCCGATGACTTTATTTTTTAGGTAACGTAAAACGTGTTGACAATCAATGGTGAGACATTGGCGGGACGCGACAAGCCGCATCTCTGTTGAAATCAGTCGTCAGGGGATGCGAGCTTGACCCACTTTGGCCTGTGTTGAGCAGGTGGTGGACAAATGCACGGCGGATGCTATTTTGTTTGTCCCGTAGGCCGGAGTGATTACAAATGAGGCCATCCTCGGTCGAAGGGAGAGCACGAGTCCCACCCAAAAACGCTGATGAAACGTTCGGCTACGTCAGCCGAGCGCTGCGTCCTTGTTGTTGACTTCATGGGTGTAGTTCTGGAGTTAGCTGCTTGGGGCACAGCAGTTGAATTCTCTCCCAAGTGAACCACTGGCTTTCAAATAGGATGGCGACCTATGGGGTCCCTAAAGGCCTTCTAGGATCCCCGAATTGCTTGCCCGTCCGTCAAGCCGAGCAATAAAACTTCTTTTTTTTAATGCAGACTGACCGACGAAGCTAAATGGACCAAACAATGTGCACCGAGTGAGTGCCCATTAGCACGCCAGAGAAAAGGCTAATTTGGCACAAGCAATCATAGGGTCCTATGTTTGGCTAAATACGATTTCGCACCAAGGCAATAGTTATAGTACTTTCTCCAGAGCTTTTATATTTGACGTTTCTCTGGATTTATGGCTCGCCACTTAATTGCCTGAGTGCCAGACTCTAGCCAAAGATGTCACATATGAACCGAAGAACCAACAGTGAAGTATAAATCTGTCAATTTCGATAATTTAGGCCGGAAGTTACCACATGAAATCTAAACAACCACAAGCGAAGTTTAACTCTGGAACTTGCTTGGCGATATAAGCCTAAAGATGCCATGTGACAGTCAAATTGCCAGCAGTGAAGTCTAACTTTGGAACGTGCTTGGCACATTAAAGCCAAGATACCTAGACTCGGCCAAAGAAAGTTAGGTTTGGTGTTTTACGTTGACTTCTGTAGGCTCTCTAAGGTCCTAAATTCCCAGACAAGACCAATCTTTCCCAAATATCTGTAATATCTGGGTAGGGTCTATTATTTTCAGTTATAGGAATTTAAGGTGGATTTTTATTGCTCGTCGTTTTTATTTTGTTATCACAGGCACACATATTCTTTTTCAGATGCTGAGTGGATGACTAGCAGGCAATAAATAAATCTTGTGTGCATCCAGCACTCGCAATGCATTCTAAGCTGAAGTTAGATTGTACATAAAGGCAAGTCTTACGTCGCAAAATTGTGAAACGAAACTGAGTAAACATTTCAGCAATTTATTTGAAGATCTGTACCAACCAAGCCTCCAAGTTTCCAAATGGGCAAGATTTGGAGGTTACACTGGAGGTGGAAGGCACTTCAGATGATAACGACAATGTGAGGGGAGCTCCACATTGCATTCATGAGGCTAAACATAATCTCATCATTCTTAAAGAATGCCAGATTTCTCTGATACAGAAAAAAACATTTGAAATTCAAACGGGTGGCAAACTGGTCGACCCGTTTGAATCAAACGGATGCAAACTTGTCGATCCGTTCGGATCAAACTTGATTATGGGATACGGGTACCTGTTTGATACAGTACCCATTTTATACGGGTGCCCGTTTGATACGGGTCCTCGTTCGATACGGGTGCCCTTTTGACCAGGCACGTGACCACACATTTGAACGCGCCATTCGGATAGGCAAATTATTCGCTAGCCCTAACTGGGTATTGTCTGGAAGGTTGGTTACCTTAAACGTATTTAAGACGTCCCGAAACTCGTAAACCTATTCATACCGTGCAGGAAACCCGCAGAAATAAAAATGTGCTCGCACAGGTGCTTGCAAATGGGCAGGAAAGCCGACACAAAATATTGTTTTCAATTGTCCTAGAAGTTTATTACAACCTAATCTGTAAACAAGAACGAACGTGCAAGCGGTCTGTGAAATGGGAAGAGGCACTCTAAGCTTTTATACAACTGAGAAAATTGCAAAACAAACAAGAAGCGAGGTAAACCTAGATTATAATGGTAGACTTTTGGCAAAATTATTCTTCCGGCTGCCGCGAGAGTTGACGCTGCATAATTCTATAGATAAGCTGGAAGAGTACACGTAGAGGAACGGTCAATTGTAGCCAACAAGTAGGTTGCTGTGCACTCACCATAATGATAGCGGACTTGAAAGATGCAATACGAGATATATGTCGACACGGTCAAAGCAGGACAACCACACAAACGCAGAAACAAGAAGAAAGTCTCCTTGAAGTTTCAACACGATGCGGCCCACAAGCTGTCATTTGCCGAACCCTACCAAACCGCAAGAATTCCTGACTTCTTTGAAGAATCGCTTGTTGCCGTTATACACGTAGGACTTTTCGAACACTGATAGCTTTGGTGCACCTCCAATACGTTGTCGAGACACCCAAATAAGACCGCGGGGTAGAGACATTGAAGCGGGTAGTACGAACAAGTTTGAACTGCAGGGACAAAAACCAGACAAAGAAAAAAGCGGCTACCAGCGGGCGCGCTACCGGATCTTCTCAGGGGATGCTTATCAGCGTCAGACAGCGTGTAGCTAGCGCGCTTTCGTCCTCCTCTCCCTCGGGTCACGTGACAGGTGACCGGAGAGGAGGGAGGGGGCGCGGTCCAGGAGGTCAAGGCGCAGCTCAGGCAGTGGCCCCGGCCGCTCGGGTTGCGCCCGAGGAAAGAAAGCACTCAGCGCGAGCTCGTAGTTTGACTGCTGCAATGACGGGTGTGTTGCGGATAGAGTTTCACGCGCCACCTCGGCCTACTGGCTCGTACACCACAAATCACTTGAGCAGCGGCGAGGGGGCACGGAGTTTGGAAACCGACCTAAAGACGGGGAGTTTCAGGGAGTGTTTAGTCTACGTGGTCGGCGTAGTGTTTTGTGACCAGGAGAGAGAGAAACGGGGAATCTCTGGGTTGCCGGGGTGTGGCTCGGGCTTCTTTGTGTTGGGTCCTCCTAAAGGAAAGACGTGATTAACGCGTCTTCTGCTTGAAACTGTCTTTATAGCAATGTAACTTTCAGTGTGTATCTTTGATAAACAGTTGTTCAGTTCATCCAATCTGGTTCCACAACATAATTTGGTGCCGAAACTCGGGAAGATAAAGAAAGTTGTGTTAACGAGACCATTGAATTAACAAGACCATGGAACGCCTGAAAGTACGACGGGCATCGAGGAGGGCCCAGAACACTCGTTTGGTCAACGAGGTAAGAGCATCTTTGACATCCCCTCAACCAGACGTTGAGGCTCTTAGCGTGCTTTACCAAAGATTGAAACTGAGCAACACCGAACTGGTGAAGCTAAATGAAGAATTAGAGCCTTTGGTGCCTGCCGAGGAACTCAGTGTTGAGTGCGACGCCGTGATGGAGTACGAGGACACTGGGATCGCCTAACTGGCGCAGTTGGAACTTAAGATTGACCGAATGAAGAACGGCCTCATAACGGCCTCATGACGCCGCGCACAGACGACTCGCTGCATCGGGATAGAGCCACTGGAAGCGGTACCAGATTGCCTAAGCTGCAAATGATCACCTTCAACGGAGAACTCAGCAAATGGCAAGGATTTTGGGATCAATTGAGATCGACGGTGCACGTTAATTGCAGCTTGTCGAATGTTCAGAAATTTCATTATTTGCGCTCTCAACTTACCGGAACGACCGCCTCTGCTCTGTCTGGACTTGCAGCAACTGATGAAGGTTACGTCGAGGTGATAGAGCTGCTGCAGAAGAAGTTTGGAGATAAAACCCAGATCGAGCAGGAGCACCTGAACAAGCTGAGAACGATGCACCAGGTGAGGTCCCCAGACGATGTCGTTGGATTGCGAAAGCAACATGATCATGTTCAGACTCACATTCGGGGGTTGACATCACTGGGTGTACATTGGGCATCCTACTCGTCGACGATGTGTGACGTTCTCTTGAAGGCGATGCCCAGTGACCTAGCTTGCCATCGACACAGAAGCTATAACGGCCAAGTGGGAGTTGAGACATCAGAGGGGACGCTTAAGAAGATCTTGGAGTTCCTATCGGTCGAAGTTGAAAGCAGAATGCGTAGCGGACATGATGCGTTCCTTCAGAAAAACAAAGAGCGACGCTCAGCTTTTAAAGGAAAGATCCTTCCAACCTCCATGCCTCTCCACAGCAAGCTGGTCTCAAATGACTGCTTTTTCTCTAATTGTAGTGGGCACAAAACCGGAGAATGCAAACATCAACTGAGCTTGAGAGAAAAAATGACACGTACGCTTGTCTAAAGATGGCAGGTGTTTTAAATGCACGAAACGAGGACACCGCGCAAGAACTTGCCGCCGCAAGATAATATGTGAAACCTGCAAAGGCAGGCATGCCACAACATTGTACGACCCGCGGTATGTAAAAAAGGCGCCTGAGGTCGGAAGAGACGAAGGGAATAGCACGAGTATTCACACACCTTTAAAAACAAACGGAAGTTGCGATGACAACGACGATGCGCTTTTGCAGACGTTCCGCGGCTGGCTCACGACAAAAAATTAATGCTGCTACATTAAAGGCGTAATTGATAACGGCAGTCAGAGAACCTTCATCAGAAAAGATGTGTCAAGAAAGCTGAAACTGAAAGTGATTGGCAAAGTGAATCTGAGCATTAACGCGTTCGGAAGTGTCCGGGACAGCGAAAGGCACGAGCGAAGATTGGTCGAAATGGAACTTCAAAGTTAGTACGACAATAAGAGCACAGATCGAGGCGATTGAGGTACCGGACATATGCAAAGACATCGATCGGATACCGGTGGACAATGACTTCGTGCAGAAAATCGCGAAAGAAAAAAAGTATCTAGCGGATATGCTGGTCTTCCCAGGCGTTCAGAGAGAGTGCGGAATCAGCCTTCCAGTTGGAGCAGATCAGCTTGGAAAACTGTTGGAGCATGAAGAATGCTGGGATGAAAACAACAGGTGTCTATCAGCTGCGAAAACAACAATGGGATGGACATTTCAAGGCTCCGTGACCTCGAAGAACCCAAGACGAAAGCAAAAAAAACAGCAACGTTTGCGTGCTCAGAGCCGGTTCAACGGGCGACGATGAAGTAAGCTCGACCCTAAGCTCGACCCTGCGACAGTTCTGGGAACTTGAAAGCCTCGGCATCAAAGACTCAACGACCAACGTTGCCCACGACGAGTCTGTATTACGGTGTTTTTATGAGACCATCACCATGACAAATGGAAGATACCAAGTTGCTCTTCCCTGGAAGTCTGAGAACCTCGGCGATCTCGGCAATAACAGAAAGGTGGCAGAGAAGAGATTGCAAGCGCTCTGCCGTCGCATGGCTCGAGACGAAGAACTTCTTCTGAAGTACGACTCTGCTATGGGGCAATACCTAAACGACGGACACGCAGAGAAAGTACGGAAGAAACCAACGAAAAGGAAAATGTGTACTAGATGCCACTCAGAGCTGTTATCCGAGAAGCTCCAGCCACTACAAAGTTGCGAGTGGTCTTCAATGCGCCTTCGCACACTACAGGAGAGCTCTCGCTGAACGACCATCTGGAGAAAGGACTTAATGTAAACAACGACATGCTGAAGATCCTGGTGAACTTCCGTTGTTACAGGATAGCACTAACAGCTGACATTCAGAAGGCTTTTCTTAAGATCTGCGTGAGGCCTGAGGACAGAAATGCTCTTCTTTTTTTGTGGTTTGACAGCCTTCCTGTTCCTGGAGAAGAATTGCCTCCCATTCCAGAGTTTCGAATGACAAGAGTTCCTTTCGGGTCAACTGCAAGCCCTTTTCTCTTGACAGCGACATTGCAGCATCACCTGCGTTCGGTCGAGGGAGAAGCCAAGTCAACGGCGATGCACCTTGAAAGGCGTTTTTATGTTGACGACCTGATTGTGGGTGTCTTATCATACGAACAGGCGCAGAAACTCTACGATGACTCCACGGAAATACTTGACGAAGCGGGAATGAGGCTTCAAAAGAGGTCGACGACCTCAAAAGAACTCAAGTGTCACATTGAAAAGACAGCGGACGAGACGTCTACGTGTACTGAATCGTCAGGGCTGACAAATGTACTGGGAATTCTTCGGGACGCCGAACAGGACAATCTTCAGGTGAACTTACAGTCACTGTCAGACTTCGTCAAAGAAAGAATGGATACGAAAAGGCTCGTTTTTCAGACCACTTCGAGGCTTTTCGACCCTTTGGGACTGCTCTCTCCATACAGCATGCGAGCCAAAATTTTGTTTCAGCATGTTTGGGAGAGAGGAATCGACTGGGACACCTCATTGCCAAATGATTTGCGTGAGGAATGGCTTGCAGGGTGAGGCGAGCTTGCCGAACTCGGCTCTCTCTCAGTCGACAGATGCGTCTTGGTGACAGAGGGAGCAGTTAAGTCCAGACAACTCCATGTTTTGACGGACGCAAACACTCAGGCGTACGAAGCTGTGGCCTACATGCGAGTCGAGGACACTAACGGAAGCATCAGCGCACGGCTTGTCATATCCAAGGCACGTGTTGCATCTTTGAAGAGAATGACTTTGCCGCGTCTGGAGCTCATCGGCGCTCTTATCGGATCAAGATTGATGACTTTCTTGATTGGGACATTGGATTTGCCCGACCTGGAATGCCACCTTTGGACAGACTCCACCTTCCCATTCAGTTGGATTTAGGCATCGGCAAGCAAATGGAAGCCATTTTTATGCAACAGGGTCGTGGAGATCCAGAGCAGCACCGACCCTCTTCGGTGGCAACACTGTTCAGAGAAGGACAACCCCACGGACATGCTCACCCGAGGAGTACCCGACTCCAACCTGACCCTTTCCAAGGTGTGGTGGCAGGGCCCGCAGTGGTTGTCACGTGATCCAGATTTCTGGCCCAGAAGACGAGAGACGAACGACGAGGTTCCGGATGGTGACGTAGAGCTAAGAAGCAAAAGCGCAGTGCTGCACACAAAGACAACCGTACAAGAGCCTCTCCTCGTGTTTACAGACTACAGCAAACGGCTCAAGGCAATGAGTGTGACGGCGTGGATCATGCGATTCATTAAAAAACTTCCAAGGCATGGGTCCAAGATTCAGCGGCTCTCTGACCACCTATCAATTGGAGGAGGCAGAGAGATACTGCACGAAACACATCCAGGAAGAGAGCTACAGCGAAGAAAAAGCAAGCCTCGTCGCCGGTGACCGCCAGCGGTCGAGCTCACGTATCCGGGACCTGCACCCTTTCTTGGATGAAGACGGTGTGATTCACATTGAGACTCGACTGCAGAATGCCTTGGCACCCGACGAGACCAAGTTTCCGGTGCTACTTCCGCTAGACAACCATTTCACGGAGCTCCTCGTTGAGCACACGCATGTGAGCATTCTGCATGGTGGTGTGAGTGCTACTTGGTGAACTGCGGGAGCATTACTGGGTTGTGAGAGGGCGACAGTGTGTAAAACGAGTGATCGAACGCTGTAAGATGTGTCTTCGACTCAAGCTCAAGCCCATGACCGCCCCGATGGCACCTCTGCCTGAAGACAGCGTAACAAAGGCAGAACCATTCGAGGTTTGTGGCGTGGAATTTGCTGGACCGATGTTCGTGAGTTCCGGAACAAACAGTGTCAAGGCATATATTCTTGTATTCACATGCGCTGTTACGCTAGCGATACATTTAGAACTTGTCCTGGATATGTCTAACAAGGCCTTTCTAATGGCTTTCAGACGCTTTGTGTCAAGGCGTGGGTTGCCGCGAATGATGTGTTCAGATAATGCACTGACTTTCAAACGAGCTGCTAAAGATCTAAAGCACATGTACGATGTATTAACTAGTTCCGAATTGAAAGACTACTGCGCCGCCCACCGGATCACTTGGAGGTTTATCCTTGAAAGAGCTCCATGGTGGGATGGTTTTTGGGAGCGTATGGGATCGGTTAAGAGTTGCCTGAGAAGAAACATCGGCAAAACTGCGCTTGATGTTGATCAGATCACAACTGTATTAACGGAAGTGGAGGCTGTGATCAAATATCGACCAATGACGTCTGCCTACTCCGAACCAAACGAACCAAATGTCTTAACTCCTGCTCACTTCCTTTGTGGTAAGAGGCTAACCACATTACCTCATCATAAAAAAGGAGACGTGACATTCACTTGAACGGAGTTGGTTGGGAGATGGTCACACCGCCAGCGATTGATGAATATGTTTTGGAACAGGTGGGCTAAAGAATATCTGTATAACCTACAAAGTGCGCATGCTCGTAGGCCTCAATCCAGCAGCGGTCTCAATGTCGGTGATGTCGTAATTGTGCATGACAACCACGTTCCTCGATTGTTTTGGAGAACCGGCAGGATTCTGGAGTGTTTCCTAGGTCGGGACGGAAATGTGCGAGCCTGTAAGATAAAATTGTGTAACGGCTCAGAGGTCAGGCGCCTTGTTACGCGTCTATA